CGCATGAATATTCGTTTGTGTGTGGCCTATAAGCCTCAAACTCAGCAGTGTCTCTTTCATGTAAGCTTAATGCCCATATTTTGGACCACATGATGGCAGTGAAGCATCTGGATCCAGTGGGTTAATGTTGTAATTATAGACTCCATATGTGCTTTCTGTGTTCTTTCCACTCATTGTGATAGAAATTTAATAGTTTTGGGAGGGGGGGGAGGTAAATAGACATACTGACTGAGAGGGTAGATTGGAGACAGGCCAAGTATTAAGGGGGTGGGAGTATTCTTCAATGGCCTGGCAGTCTGAGACAATATGTTTTATATTTTAATGGTGTTTATTGGAAAACAAAGAAACAAAGGATAAAGGATGCTCAAGTGGCCATGCTCCCAACCATTAAATCAATTCTTTGATGGAATAAAGCTCCTGTTGGTTGAGGAAGAGTGGGGGGGTGGGGGCAGACTTAACACAAGTCCTGAAGGGTTGATGCTTAGGCTCAAATTCTAGCTGATGCACATGATCTGAATCACTTTCTTTATCCCAGTTTGCCTTGTAAACTTAACCCAAGTAGTAATTAATAGAGTAAATGTCATAATTACGTTGATGATTAGGGGTCGTTCACAATTGTCAACATTTTCACGGGCGTACAAACAGTACGCTAGGGGGGAGGGGGTCTGAGGTCCGCGTACGCTTTTTGAAAACATAAAAATGTTGATTTCTTTTATTTCTGAATTTGGTGGATTTTGGCTTTTTTGCTCAAGTTTTACCACGTTTTACTTTGGCTTTTTTTTAACTAGTTGCTTGGCGATATTATTTGTACTGTAGAGTGTATTATTTCTTGAATATAGTTCTTCTGAGAAATCAACATTTTATTTTGTACACTTTTGGGAGGGGGGGAGGGGGTCCTGAAAAAGTGTACGTTTTGTACGCTCGTGAAAATGTTGACAATTGTGAACGACCCCTTACCAAATAGAAATCTTGTACTTTAAATGCAGTGCTCCACTCTCCCTGTACTGTCAAGTACACTTTAATGACTTAGCATAATGTGAATGTGCAGTGCTCCACTCTCCCCGTAATGTCAAGTACACCTTAACCCTTTACTGATGGGTCACATGTACAAGTGTCATAACATACCGCTTGATCTGTGTGTTATGGCTGTACACGCGCCAACGTGCCAGAGTGTGTGGCGCGGGAAGTTCCGCTACTCATATTGGACCCCCATGCCCAGTGTGTGGACATTGCCAGAAATCACCAAAGTTTATGACGCTCAGGGATTTCAAGTTTAAGATAAAATTGTCAGTCACTCCTTAACCCATTCGCGCCGGGCGTCACGCATACGTGACGGGCCCACTGTGAGTTTACTTGTTTGATTGTTTCCAAACATAGATGGCTCCACTTGCACTTGTACTGCCTGTCTCGTCTGTTTACCCTTTTCTTTAATTTACGAAATTATTTTGTGTTATCTTATTTTGTTGTTACTAATGTTTATAACATTATAGTAATTATAATGTTTATAATAAAAATAACTATCGATATTCATAGCACTAGTAAAAATACATTTTCCCGCCAAATGAAATCAGGTAAAGCAGAGCCATCTAGTGTAGAGAAATTTCATTAAAAACTATAAAAATTGAGCACAGCATTTCCCCCATTTTTTGTTCATTTTTACCCGGCGCGAATGGGTTAACAGCTATCATCAGAAACAAACTTGGCATAACCCAATGCCGACAGGCATGATATATACATGTATGCCATGCCCACTGTGAGTTTACTTGTTTGATTGTTTTTACACATAGATGGCTACACTTGTACTAAGTCAATGAGCCAATTACGAGTACTGCCTGTCTCACCCGTTTACACTTTTCTTATAAAATTAGAGTAATTATAATGTTTATGATAAAAATAATTGACTCCTTTGTGACTAAGCACTAGCAGAGCCATCTATGTGCAGAGACATTTCACAAAAAATATAAAAAATGATCTCAGCATTTTCCCCATTTTTCATTCATTTTCCCCGGCGGCTTGGGTTAACATGCTCACATGCATCATGAAACTATCACTCATGCTGGTTTAAAGCCTCTCTTTTGTCTCATGTCTTAAAAGATTATTTAGGTCATAGGGAGGAGTATAGAGGGCGGGGGATATGTATGCTTTCCTGCACTTATTTATTTTTCATCCCAGTAGCTGCCTGTAAACAAAGGCTGGTTTGTGGCTTGGTATGACATTGGTTAATTCCTCACAAATACTACATCTAGATTTATATTTTAGATTCTTTACTATTACTATTGTCTTTTTGTATCCCTGATATCCCCTTCCCCCAATAATTGTGAAGAGTGAACTTTGTGAATAGTAGATGCATAAAAATGTTTCTTATCAGTTTTGACATATATTTATGATATAATTTAGATGTGTATCTAAGAATGAATTCAATTCATAATCATGTTAAAAGCCCACCAAATCATGTAAAGGCTTGAAGTGCATGATATGGAATTATAGTACATTTAAGCTGATGTCCTTCCCACTATTTCAGGATGCTGTCCATGCATACAGTGGAGGCTTAGATGGTCAGCTCAAGACCTTTGATCTCAACACAAACACAGAGTCTGTGGTTGGCTCTCACGATGCTCCAATCAGGTACAATACTGTTTTCTCTTTCAGTCCACTGCTCCTGACCTAAAATCCAGTTTTATCAATTTTTTGAATTATGTTGCTTGGAAGCAGTCTTTTACCTTCTTCAAAAATTTGTTTAACATTCTGACTGACTTCTATACATCCTATTATATATGGGATTCATAAATAAACAGTGAAATATGAGGATGACATAAACATAAAGACTTGATTAATATCTATGACAAAAAAAAACTCATAATGGGCCTTTTTCTTGTATAGGTGTGTGGAATTTTGCCCAGAAGTAAATGTTGTGATCACAGGAGCTTGGGATTCCAACATCAAACTCTGGGATCCTCGTGGACCGCGGGAAGCTGGGACTTTCCAGCAGCCAAATAAGGTTAGTGTGGGAATCAGGATCAGATTTTTTTTTTCTGTTTCCTCTGTTGTTCCCTCCTTGTTTTCTTTCTTCCTTTCTTTGTTTTACTGATTTTATTCTGTTCTGAGTCATACCATTAATCAATATTGTGTTTTCCTTCTTTCTATTCATTCCACCCTCATTTTGTGATCAGTGCTTGATAAAGCTATTTAGTGCAGGCATCCAGAATTAATTGTCTCATTTCAATATTCAGGTGTACACCATGGGCCTCGGTGGAGAAAAGTTGGTAGTGGGGACATCCAATAGAAAAGTGATGGTCTGGGATCTGAGGAACATGGGCTTTGCTCAGCAGCGCCGAGAATCTTCTCTCAAATACCAGACTCGCTGCATTCAGTGCTTCCCCAACAAACAGGTAGGCCAGAACTTGCTTTTTTTTACTGTCTGTTGCCTATCAGTTACAGAGCATACTGAATTTATTATTTCTGAGTACAGATATAATGAAATGTTTGCTCAGATTTTTGTATATTGTTCTTATTGTATGCATTATACCTAAATTGAGATTGTTATTTGTTTAAGGAGCGGGTCGGTGAACGCACTTTGTGGTATCAAGAGGAATTGCCGCATGCAATATTTGGGTTTAAAGGGGGAGAATATGGTAGAATGCATTAACATTGCTAATACTAAAACTTTTACTTTTATTTTAATCTGCAACATGCAAAAATAATCATCAGCCAGACCAAGTAAGGCAACACTAAAGACATACCATTATTCATTTAATAAGTACCAGAACACTCTAGTGTGTAGAAATAATGTTTGGACAGTGAAATTATATTTATTCAAACCCGGTTTGCCACAGGTAATATGCTCTTGGAATTATCCACTGGTATTGATGTGACTGTTAAATATATATAGTAAACCTTGTCTTCACTAATTTCTTAATGTTAGCAGGACATATTGGGGTGGGAGAGAGGCATGCAGTCATTTAATTATTGTGCTTTCAGGACAATGACAGTAGGAGCCACAATATTTTTGCCCCTGGGTGACTTCTTGTGCTAATAAGTGCATGTGGTGTGCTGTTTACTTTACACATGAGAAAAGAGTGATATCTCTGCAGAATTTTCATTCCGTGTTGGAAGTTAAGCGGCTATTTTTTTTTCCCCCGTGAATTTCAAGCAGAATTGATCTTGACAGTTCAAACAACGCTGAGCTAATATTAAGTGTAGTTAGCTCAAGTGCATGTGTAGGAGAATTTATAGCTGCTGAATAGTATTCTGTAGGTCCATGGATATTTTATCTGTATCCTTAGGCATGCAGTTCACACAAAGACATAAATCCATAGAAACACTGTACATACATATCAAAAGGGTATCTATTCCCAATTTTGAGTCAGTACATACATTTCGTAATGAAAATTTGTATTTGAATATATTTGGAGGTCACTGGATCATTGAATTTTGTTCATTTTGAAAATGTTAATAGGATTTTTATATATGTTTGACTAAACTCAAACATGAACATTTTTTAGCATTATCATTCAAAACATGCAGGTCAGCAGTACAGCATTGCTCTTGAAAACTTGTACCGCCAGGAATGGCATGTATGTTAATGCCATGCCTACAGTGAATTTAGTTTATGTATTGTTTTTTACACACATGAGGCCACAAATAGTTATTCACCAAGGAGTCAGTTTCTTATTCTACCTATGTCACTTTTCCTTGATTTTTAGAAATATCTTGTTTTATATTGCTGTTAGTATTGTTGACAACACTATTATAATTGTGATGTCAATAATTATAATAACAATATCAGTATTAATAGTGTTAAAGGTGGGGGGGATTCTTGAACTCTAAGGGGGATATCAAATTAGGTCACAGACACTACTGATTAACACCTTGGTGACTGAACATTTGTGAAGAAATCTTTGTGTTGATAAATTTCACAAAACTAATACTGTGAATATTACATTTTCCTGCTGGCATTGGGTTAACATTTTAGCCAGCCAGTCCAATTATTTGTATTATCCAAAAAACTTGCATGACTTGGCCTGTGGTGGTATTTGCATCATTAAAGATAAATGCTTTCCAGAAATCACTTATTTTTCAGTTTACATCGGACAAGGCTCAATCTTTTTGTGCCAGATGAGTGCACTGCCCATTGTAGTGTTATTTTATCTGTTTTGTTTACACATAACTAGCTCTGGAATGGCTTAATCAGCAATTGCTTAGTCAAGGAGTTAATTACTATGCTTACCTAACATCATCTGCTCCATTTCTTGAAGTTTTGTGAAGAAAGATATTTTATTAGTAGTAGTAATAATAATGATAATGATAAAACTCCAAACTTTTCTTCCTGAAAATTCAGGGAATGTATTAAGCAACTGAGATCAGACAGGCTTAGCAGTTGGCTGATAGATGACTAAGCACTTATAGAGCCATTAGTGTGTAAAGAAACTAAAGAAACTAAAGTTGCAGTGGACAGGGTTTGGTGTTAGATAGCAAGTGGGTGTCTGTGCAGCTTCAGTTGCATATATTTCTGATAGGAAAATCTTTTGTTAATAGTTTGGAACTGAAATGAGTGATTTGGTGCTAACACCAAGTCCATAGAGAAGAAAAGAATTTGAACATATACACGAAATGACCCACGAAGTGACAACACCCACCTGTCTTAGGGCTAAGATTTAGCTGGATACCAGACTGGTAAAAGTGTCTGACATGATGGCAGCATGTCATCTTGTTTAGCCCTTTCACTTCACTGATGTTTTAAAGGGCTAAGAATTAAGGAATGTTTTTCTCATATAGCTTAGACCCTTATTTTTTTCCCCAGCAAAGTGGATTTAAATGGAATTTGACAACCTTCGTTCTTATCTTTTGTACCCAATCTTATTGCAGACTGAATTTTATGCTCAGTTATAAATATTTTTGCGATATATTCACCGGGAAAGTTAGTTTTGTGCAATATTATGGGGGGAAGAAGTGTTTCCCTATGTGCTTTAAAATGGACCAATTTACAACAAGGGATGCAAATTTTAATTATTTTTTGCATGATGAAGATACCAGTATGTGAATGATTATTATTATTTTGCTGGTGTGGTATTTAATTTGCATTTGCCTGTTCTTTATTTGCTTTCATTATTTTTATGGTTTGTTGGAGCACTTTTCTTAAACTTCAAATGCCATCAGCAATTATCATCATCATCTTCAAAGGGAAACTTGCAAATACACACATGGACATGCACTTGCTACACAAACACATGCACGCACACAAGTTCATTCATTCCCTCATATATCTCTCTTTCTTTCTTTCTTTCTTTCTTTCTTTCTTTCTTTCTTTCTGTCTCTCTGTCTGCTTCTCTCTCTCTTTCTCTGTCCCTCTGTCTGCCTGCCTCTCTCTCTCTCTCTCTCTCTCTCTCTCTCTCTCTCTCTCTCTCTCTCTCTCTCTCTCTCTCTCTCTCTCTCTCTCTCTCTCTCTCTCTCTCTCTCTCTCTCTCTCTCTCTCTCTCTCTCCCTCCCCCTCTCTCTCCCCCTCTCTCCCTCTCCCTCTCCCTCTCCCTCTCCCTCTGGTCTCTTTCTTTCTTTAAGTTCACTCATAAACAAAATCCTATTAAAGTAGACATTACAGTGCAGTGAACATTGTTTATTTGAGTATTTAACTATTTCTCTTACAGGGCTATGTCGTATCCAGCATTGAGGGTCGTGTGGCTGTCGAGTACCTTGACCCGAGCCCGGAAGTCCAGAAGAAGAAGTATGCCTTCAAGTGCCACAGACTCAAAGAGGATGGGATTGAGAAAATTTTCCCTGTTAATGCCATAAGGTACGGTTTGTTCCTCCTATTATTTTGTCGTCTTACCCTTCATTTTCCTTTTTTTATATTGCCTTTTCTTTTTCTTTATCCTGCGCTTCCACCTCCTGTTCCTGTTCCTTATGTTGTTACTCCTCTTCCTCCTCCTTTAAATCAAAAAGTTATGAAAATGTTATTTTTAAAACAAGCTTTGAGGTCTCCCTGTGGTAAGAATAAAAAGGAACATTGAAAATCCCTGCTCAAAAGGAAAAAACAAGGTTTTATAAGTTCTTTCTCCTTTGTTCAGAGGAACATTTATTGTCTACTGTAATTTTTTTGAATTTCTCTGCACACTGATGGCCTTACAAGTGTTGAACCACCAAGGAGTAGTAGGTCCAATATGACCTCAACAGATTCTAACATTCTGTGAATTTTGGGGGATTTCTCTCTCCTCTCCTCTCCTCTCCTCTCCTCTTCTCTCTCTAATCTATGCTCTCTACTCTCTAATGCTGTAATACTGATACTGTTAGTGATATTATCATCATTATGATTATAATGTTATTGAAAAGCTAATATTAAAAAATTACAAAGACTCTTTATGAAAATCATTGAAATTGGTAAACAGGTGAGATTTGCAGTAGCTAGAGACATAAAGTAATTGTCGAGACATCTCTGTGTCAACACGATTAACTGTTACGATCTGAATGACATGAAGATCATGTCTTGAAAAGGGATGGGCTGATGGAAACTTCCCACATGAGAATTTTGGCTAGTGGACATTTTGATAGGAATGACATGTCATGAGTGCACAAAGCTCATGGAAGGTGAATAGACCTAGTCACCCATGAGTGGAAGAGCACTGGTTTCAGAATGCTGTTTCCTTGCTTGGGATCCTATTCCTGTCCACTGTGACCGGTGGCGCAGGTTGTATTGTAGAAAATTGAATACCAAATTATTGTCAAATAAGAAAATTATTATTTTTAATATTATTGCACTGAGTTATGGACTACCTCGAAAGAGAATATGGAGTCTGCGCAGGGAAAAGTCTTTTATCATCTGGATGACAATTAGAATTAGGGAAAAAAAAAAAAAGTTTATGCAGAAGAAATAATAATATTGAAAAGGGGATGCAAGGAGTCTTGACACTGTCCATGAGTGTTTGTGTGTGCCTAGATTATAAGGCACACACCTGTGAGTGCCTACTCAAGTAAGCCTAATCCCTGAAATTTGGCTAACTGTGGTTAATGAAGCACATGGATCCAAAGGGTTGATAAATTAAAATCACGGTGTACATGGCATGTACTTCATGCCATCCTAGCACTAGGGTTAAAATGTATTAATAAAAGCATTGAAAAGGTTTTAACATTTAGAGAATAATAACAGAAAAAATTAGTTTACTACTGGTTTCTTCTTCATGAATGATTTGACTGACTTGTATTTTTGCTCTTCCTTTCCAGTTTCCACAATGGTTACAATACCTTTGCAACAGGAGGTTCTGATGGGTATGTCAATATATGGGACGGCTTCAACAAGAAGCGCCTCTGCCAGTTCCATCGTTATCCAACTTCCATATCCTCCCTATGCTTCAGCAATGATGGTACGATTGATCTTGCATTTTTTGTTATAGCAATCCAAGTCTTTTAGAATACAAGTGTAAGATGTTGCCATTAATGTTTAGAGATACTGTTCTATATTCAGACTCATGCACATGTACACATATGCACATGCATGCATGCAAACAAATACAGGCACGCCCCAACACAAACGCACATCCAACATGCATGCACACCCCAACACGCACACATGCACACATGCATGGACAAACACACACACACATGCATGGACAAACACACACACACACACACGCACGCACACACGCACGCACACACGCACGCACACAAGCACACACATGCACAAATGCATGCATACACACAAACACACATGCACACACTCACACTTGAACTCACTCACTCACTCACTCATTCACACTGAAGGTAGATAACATAAGTGAAACATAAGTAACATCAACTTTTTACCCTCCTGCAGGTAACACACTAGCAATTGCCTGCTCCTATATGTATGAACAAGAGGAAATTGACCCCATGCCAGAGGACTGTATCTTCATCCGTCGCGTGACAGACCAGGAGACGAAGCCAAAATAAGGAGCCAGAGCAGACAAGGAGCTTGCATCTTTTCCAGTAATCCCTCTGCCATGATGTAGAAAAGAGGGCTGTCCATTACACGGGTCCAATGTGTGTCGGTGGGCTCTGGGACGTTAACACTCATAGTACCTCAATTTTGTATATGGTGGTATGTATGTATGCCATTCTATATGAAGTGTTAGTGAATTTTCAAAGTTATGATTAGACCACATATTTGACCAGCACTTGTTTAGTGTAGTCGGATAAAAGGTGCTTCTTTCATATCTTTTAATAGTTTTCTATGTATTTTATCAGTAGCTTGGCAATTCAGGCCTTAATTACTTTTTAAGCAAATGGGTAAATATGCTTAATAACCTCGAAATGTCTTTACCGTTGTTTTCAAAGTTCATTTTTAATTGGGGGGGGGGGGACTTGTGAATCCTGTATTCATGTTCATGCAGTTTCCAGGAAGGTCTGAAGAAGAATACCAGTTAATGTTTAGAGGATACTGAATGAAGTGGGCAGAATTTTTAGTGAATGCCTTTGTTGGTTTTATCTATCTCCATGTGGACAGTTCCTGAATGTTGAGAGGTACAGCCCAGTTTACAAAAGACTTTTGCAGTGTAGATAAGTGATTATTGAAATGTGTTTATTCATGTATTTTTCAATTTCAACAGTACAAAAGTGTCGGAGGTTATTTCACATATTTACCACTGCTGCATATGCCAAAGTATGCCTAGGGAGAATAACAATGTCAGCAATAATTACATAGAATGGTTCCATCCTCCTTAGAACTCGATAGCATTTGGAATAAGGCCCACCGACCTCTGCCTTCTCTTTCATGCCTCTCTTTTTTTTCTTCTTCTTTTGCCTAATTCTTTGTTTCCCCATCATTATATGATATGAACAGTGTAAGTGACAATTCTTTAGCTATCAAAGAAAAGAAAAGTGTATTCAGAATTTCTTTAGCCAGCTTGTGGTATAAAACGTTTTTATCTTATGTTTTAGTTTTTATTGTCCAATTCATTCATTTATCTTTTTTTTAATTCTTTGATGTTGCCTACTTTCACAAGGCATATTAAAATTACAATACATACTATTGAAGCTATTGAAGCTTTTGTTTCTTCAGTTATCAATATCATTATTATTATTATTATTATTATTATTATTATTATTATTATCATTATTATTATCATTTATTATTATTATTATTATTATCATTATTATTATTATCATTATTATTATTAATATTATTATCATTATTATTATCATTATTATTATTATTATTATTATTATTATTATTATTATTATTATTACTATTATTTTTTCCCCCTTGCCATTTCTCTGCTTGGCTCTTTCTATTGCTTGAAACCTATAGATCATATTTCTTCTTAAGAAAAGCAAACAAAAAAATAATATTGCCTATGAAGCTCAAACAGTATACCAACAAGTGTTGAACCCTCAAGCTTGCATGTAGGTAAAGGTCCAGTACTTTGAGGTACGAGGTATACTAAAAATGTCCATTAAATTATTTTGACATGTATCTGCAAGATGTGTTTAGCATGGGCTTGTGAGATATTTATCTTTTGGAGGAATTTTTAGATGATATTTCCTTAGTGATAGAACTATATTAAAGCTTTCCTTTTACTTAACCTAGTAATTGGAAGAGTTATGTGCATAATTTTATATTTTGATGAAAAACTAGGGTAGAAATGCAAATTCAGTGGAGATGGTTGAAACTGTCACTGCCAGAATAAACAACAATAAATACATTCAAAGAAGGATTTACTTACTTTTTTCTTTTCTTTGAAAGAGATTATCTTTTCCTCAACGATGCTTGTAATTTAAAAAGACGCCAGAGACTTGGTTATAGTATTAATGCTCAAGGATACCATTCTTGTCATTCAGATGGCAATTTTGTCGTTAGTTGCTACTCTTTCATGTCAACCTTAAATGGGAATTGAATAATAGTTTTACAGGGTTATGCTTATGGAGGAAAATGAAGGATTTTTTTTTTTTGTTTTTTCCATCTTTTTAATACATTTTCCTTCTATTTTCTAAGTCATATTTAAGCCATGACTTCTGCTCTCACCTTGTTTCAAAGATATGAAAATATAATAACGACATCTGACAATTTCAGCTACAGTCACCATGGAGATTGTAAATGACTACTAAAGTTGCTGCTGCATCTTCACCTTTGATTCTTCCTCAAAATGATCTCTCTGACCACCTCCTGCCATTAGTCTTTTGAATCCTCCTCCTCCTACTTCCTTTCCTTTTCATTCTGATTGTCCTTCCCAGCCTCATCCATTTTCATTCTGTCCTATTTTTGGTAGCTCTATTTCTACTGTTCCGCTGGCTAAGAGCTTTCAGTGCCATGATAGTAAGAATTTTAACTTACTTGTATCTAGTGAGATAACATCAAGTTATTTCAAGTGGTATTTTAATTTTACAGCACATAATGAGCATAAAGTTTATATCAAGAGACTGAAAAAAAAAGTTGTATTTCCAGTAAATGCAAAAAGTTGCTCTTCAAAAGAAGGAAAGGCACTCACTGGTGGTATTGAATGAAGACCCTGTATAAATAAATTCTAGAAAGCACTTTGTTTTCTTTCCTTCCCTTCCTTTTAGCATTTTGAAAGTACATTTGTACAATGTAAAAGGGATCTACCTTGAAACAGGATTACATTGACAGTTCCTTTAAATGCACTTTTATTTGTGTACATACAGATACAAGTGCTAACCTTTTTTATCTTTTACACAACTGTAATAATAATGGTTTACCATACTTGGCTGACAATGCCCTTCTTTCCATTTTAACCCAATGGTGCCAGGTAATCACACTAAATATTCTCATATCCTCAGCTGATTTACCATTCCTGTGAGTTTTTTTTGATTTCCCCTCCACCAAATGCTGTTAATATTGAAGGTTATTATTGTTATTAACATTAGAATTATTATAATGGTATCAACAATACATAGCAATAAAAGATTTTTAAAAAATTATAAAAAATCAAATATCAAGGAAATGGATAAACATGTGAGCTAGGTAGGACTAGTGATTAACTCCTTGTGGAGCCATCTATGTGTAAAGACAATCAGTATACAAAAAGACAGTGGACATGGCATGTATTTTTACTATCCTGTCAATGTTAGGTTAACCCAATGGTGCCGGGGAAAATGAACAAAAAATGGGGAAAATATTGTGCCCACTTTCTATGTTTTTCGTGAAATGTCTGCCGATAGATGGCTCTGCTAGCGCCTGATTTAAATGGCGGGAAAAATGTATTTTTCACTAGCGTTATGAAAATCGATGGTGTTATTTTTATCATAAACATTCTAATTTTTATAATTTTTTTAAACATTAGTAACAGCAAAATAAGATTACGTAAAATATTTTGTAAATCAAAGAAACGAGTAAACGGGCAAGACGGGCGGTGCTCGTAACTGGCTCATTGGGGAGTTAGTACAAGTGTTGCCATCTATGCGCAAAAACAATCAAACAAGTACTCACGGTGGGCATAGCACGTACGTACACGTCATACCTGGCACCAAGGGGTTAAACACCGATAAGAATGAAATTTGTTTCAACCTAACTGACGTGAAACCTCAGTCCATTTTAACCCCTTGCCGATGGGGATGGCATATACGTACATGCCATGCCCACTGTGAGTCAACTTGTTTGATTGTTTTTACACATAGATGGCTACACTTGTACTAAGTCACCAGTGAGCCAATTACGAGTTCTGCCTGTCTCGTTTGTTCACCCTTTTCATCGATTTACGAAAATATTTAACGTTATCCTTATTTGCTGTTAAAAATATCATCTATATTTATAGCACTAGTAAGAATACGTTTTTTCCCGCTAAATCAGAGCCATCTATGTACAGATATTTCATGAAAATATAAAAAATGAGTACAGCATTTTCCCCATTTTTTATTCATCCCCGGCAGCAATGGGTTAATGAGATGTATTAAGTTGACTGCCCTTGTTTGAAAGTCAGCTAGCCCAAGATGTCACAAATTCATTACCATCTGCATTTGCAAAAGTTGTCTGCTCGGTGGGCTCCCAGGCTGCATAGTTCCAAGGCTCTTTTAGCCATGTGCCAAGAAAACCAGGAGGACTTTTTTGACAGACTAATTACACAAAATGAAACTTGGGTCCATCACTACGATCAAGAAATTAAAGCCTAGTCTAAACAATGGAAGCACTTGACTCACTCCCCCATGCTCATGCTCAGTCTTTTGGGACCAGCATGGAGTAGTGATGATGGATTTCTTGACAAGAGGTATTATATGTACAGGAACTTACTACACTTGACTGCTGTTGAAATTGCAGGAGGCCATCAAAACCAAGTGGCGTGGAATGTTAACCAAAGCTGTCTGCCTTCTACAAGACAACGCCCCTGTTCACAACTCCTGTAGCTATGACAGCCTTGTTCATCCTCCTTATTTATCCGACTGTCACCTCTTTCCGTCCATGAAGCAATTTTTGAAGGGTAAACGATTCCATAATGAAACTGAAGTCATTTCATGGCTTCAAATGCAACCTATGGACTTCTACAAACGAGGAGTCCACAGCTACATAAATCGATGAATGTTTCACTCTTGGAGGGACTTAAGTAGAGAAAGACTAATAGTTAATAAGCATTTCTGACACGAGCCTTACCGACTGATACCGAGGGCCTTCTCATAAAATACAAGCCTCTATTTGAGCGCACATGCCATGTGTAACTACACAAATAACTGAAAAAATAGTTCTGAAGTGAGGACACATTACAAAGTAAAAACTATTATCACTATTACAAGTTCATTAGTGTGGAGTGCTTTTTTTACAGTAAAAGCATGCATACATAACGTGGCTTTATGTTGCATTATTGAGCATCAGGAAAGTCAACCACCACCGACTAGTACTAGATGCGTTAGGCACATTGCACGTGGCAAGTGACACTTGACATGATGATTTCAGAGCACGTAGGGCATGTCAGGCCCACAAGATGGAATAATCTAAGAATGACGATGTTATTGTTGTCCTAAGCTTGTGACAATTATCTATCTGTCACTTGGAGGAAAGTTTTATGTATAAAGGAGGAAGCAAAACTTTTTGAGGATCAACAAGGGATTGCTCTTTTAACATAGTGGAAATCATCAGCTCGACTGTGCCATACACAAAAGAAACAGAGGTATTTTGTATATCCACTCTGTTGGCCAAGCAAGATGGGATGTACTATTTCGCTTTATTCTTTTTATTATATTTAATGTTTGTTAGGCATAAATAACAGTCGGTTCCATGTTCTCTCTACACCAATGGAATTCTGAAGGTCATGTTTTTTCGCTTTTCTTTATACCATTGCCTGAGATTTTCATTATAACTCCTGCAAGCAAAGTGTGGAGCCCATGGTTTGTCCTGATCACCAAATAGTAATATTGCTTTGCCTGTGTAATCACTGGACACCGTTGAAGAGTAAATGATCCACATATGTAACAACGTATCAGGAGAATTAATCCTCTTCCGATGCATGTTTCTCCAAAAGAGAACACAAGATGAATATAGAACACAAAACAGAGCATCACTTAATAATTGCATTGACTGTACATAAAACCTTTATATCTGCATATACTGCTTATACTGTATGTATATATAATGAAATATCAACATTTGCCCTGAGTCAAAACTAAATGTGGTAGTAACAAATCCATTATGCTTAAAGTAGTTTCTTAGTATGTATATACAAGATGTGTCATTAGATTTGCTCCTGCAAAATGTGTGTTTACCAGTGTTATCTGTCTCAATTGGAGTAATAAAGTGGATGACTTTGGGGCAGAACGCGAGGCAAACTTGTTTCAATACCCTGAAAATACTTGTAAGGAAAAACGTTTTTGATAATTCTGCCATTGATAGTCTTTTATTGTACTAAGGTGATGTATCATACAGACATTTGCATTTCCTCACAGTTTGTACAGATGTTATGTAAATTGGTTCGTTGTCTGTGAGAGGCGGGTTTATGCACGAGAATGGGCACACACCGCAGTTTCTTCCTGCAAGACTGCGTGTGTTTAGGGTTACCCTCTCAATCAAAACCTCAATCACTGGGCGAGCGAAGCTGTGTTGTCAAATGTTTGGCGGAATCTTACTAGACACTCTGAAATTACACTATATATGCCATACATCTCAAAGTTTTCCTATTTACATCATATATTATATTAGATTAGCATTAACTTGGCGTGGCAGGTCACACGCTGAAAAATCCCATCGTAGCGTGGCAAATACAATGTGCCACTTCTGTGTGAAAGATTTCATAGTATCTGTATGATCATTTTTAAGTGGCGTGCCACGTGGCATACAACTTTTCCTGTCTTTCTCTGTCAATATCTCTTTTTGTCCATTTCTTTTTGAGATATTTTCTCTCCCCCTCCCCTCTCTTTGTCTCTTAACCCCTCTCTCCCTCCCTCCTTTTCTCTCTCTTACTCTCAACCCCCACCCACCCCTCTCCCTCTCTCTCACACATACACACAGTCATGATGTATCTCCTAGAAGTAGGACGTGTTTTAGTGCTGTCCTCAGTCGTGAAAGATATCCGGAATCCTTCTGTTTACCAGCCCCTCAGACAGGGAGCGGGTGAGGTGCCTCTGGCCCTCCAGCAATTTGTCACCTCCTAGGTGTCAGCATGACTGCTGTTGCCATATCGCCCCCCCTCCCTTTCCGACATGGAAATTGAGGATAAAAGTTTAACCTCGCAAGGCCATGTTGCAAGTGTATCTCATAAAAGGGAAAGAAGTGAAGGAAGTGAGGACACGAGTGACAATGAAAATACATGCGAGTGGGAGGAGAAGAGGAAGAGGGAAATCAGGATGTTGCCGATGTGAATGGTAGGAAACGATTGCTATTCCCACAAGACTGCACCATGAGTTTCCTGAAGAAAGTAAGGCGGGCCATAGAATTGGGCCACCGTGATTTCGAGGCACTTATGAAGGAAGGCAGAGGGAGGCCGTATCTCACGGTACGAGCAGGCAAGGCGGAGCTGACCCTAACGACTCAGGGATACAAGGGGACAGTGATGACTATCCTAATGCCTGGGGAAAAGCTCACGATATTGGACCCCGAATCTCTGCTGGACGACAACAGATTTGTACGGGTAAAGAGGCATGCATCCAGGGGCGAGGAGCGGAGTCAGCTCGTTGCCCTCGTGAAAGGGGTAGTGCTAGAGCGGGGTCGTAGGAGGGTAGCACCGTAAGCGGAGACGCCAGTCATGTGCCTCAAGTGCTGCAGATGGGACCATAAGTCATGGACCTGTCAGCAAGATGCTCGATGCAGGTTCTGTGGCAGAAAGCAGGACTCTAGAATCTACCGAGCCAGAATAGAAAAGGGAGAAAGGGTTAAGCCTTGCTACTGTAACTGCGGAGGCTCCCACAATGCCGGATCCCTGGCATCCAGGGCGAGACCACAACTAAAGATTATTTCGGCGGTTCCCCAGCAAGGAATCGCAGCACTAGAAAAAGGGCCCCGGCCACCACGCAGGCAGAGGGAGGCTACGACTTCAGTTCCTAACGCCTGGCTGCAGGGCTCACCGCGTGTGGCGCCGTCACCGAAGAGCAATGATCATTCTCAGGACGAACGGCAAGAAGTGAAGGAAGTGCCCCGGAGTAGTGATGCGGATACTTCTGGGAAGGAAATATCCGCAATTATCCAGATGATGCAGACAATGATGCAAAGGGTGGATGTTATTGAAAAGAAACTGGAACAAGTGGACAAAGATGGAGAGGAGGCTGTAAAAAGAAAGGCCCCCAGAGATACAGAAATAGAAAATAAAAATATTTGTGGTCTGCAGAGTGTAGTGTAGATTATAAAATAACTACTAAAGGGGAAAGAAAGAAAATAAGAGCAAGTGTAGTGGGAGGACCATCCTCTGCGATTTTCAGGTCACTCCTGCTTAAGTGCAAAGACCAAGAGAAAGAAATCCTCTTTAAAGAATGGGAAGTGGTACAAGGCAACCATTAAAAAAAGGAAAAAAAATACAAGGAAACGATAAAGCCCTGATGAGGACTGATCAATATTGACTGAATACTTGTATTTTTGTATTTTAAGTATTGTATATATTCTAACCTGTTCATATACCTAAGTTCTGTGAGCCCACACAGGGACTTATTAAGATGGGGGAGAGGATAACCTACGTTACCTCATCCTTTTAAGATGTAAACTTTTGTCTCAATAAACTTGTCAAAGTAATAAAAAGTCTCTCCCTCCATTCCTCTCTCTCTCTCTCTCTCTCTCTCTCTCTCTCTCTCTCTCTCTCTCTCTCTCTCTCTCTCTCTCTCTCTCTCTCTCTCTCTCTCTCTCTCTCTCTCTCTCTCTCTCTCTCTCTCTCTCTCTCTCTCTCTCTCTCTCTCTCTCTCTCTCATTCTCTATCCCCTATGGACCATGGCCCCCAGTTTGGGAACCCCTGATATAGAAGGATAAGTGATCGATAGACTAAGCAGATTTTAGACAAGTAGGCAAGTATATAAGACCGATAGATAATTATATACGTTAAGGAAGAGTAAAGAATGTCACTGGGATAAAATAATACGTGCTGTATATTTTTTTTCTAATATGGTATATCCTAGAGTGTAATTCCTACAAGACAATAAATTTCCTGACGACTATAATAAAACGAAAACATTTATAGTTATGTTCCCTGTGATCTTAATCTGGATTGTGATTGGTCAGAGCCGTTTAGCGTCGATGCTGATTGGCTGAGTCTGTTCCAAAGTCGACGCTGATTGGCTGAGTCTTCTCAAAACCGACGCTGATTGGTGGATCGAACTCCAGCCGTGTTACACCCTCGCACTTGGCTTCTTCGGTTGCTCAGCAGGTCGGTCGAGGGAGAAACACAGGCCCTTCCACTCAAGTCGGAAAACATTCCATCAAAACCAGAAGAACAGAAGAACTTAAAGAAAGAAGGGCGCGGAGAGAAAATGGCTGCTGTAATGTTACGTTGTTTGCAGCCAGATATCGATGAGGAGAGATACAGCGACAAGGGAATCCCGACAGTAACTTCAGATGAACAAGTGGGTATATTTTTGTGTGAAAAAAGGTGTTCTTCCTCTTAACTTTGGGTTTGTGTAACATAGTGTATGTAAATGAGGTTATTTTGTGAAATAGCGTCGCAGTATAGAAAATTACCGGAGATGAATATTGACAAAAACAATTATTCAAAGCAATGTCATATTTTATTGTTAAAAGGTTGGGTGTTAAGAGCTAGGAGAGCTGTTATTATTATTGATGTTGAGTTTAAACTTCTTTCAAATCCACAACTAAAATGGTAGTTTTAAAAATCAATCCCTAAGTTAAAATCCTCCTAATTTGATTTGAATTAACTCCAGTCAATGTCTTCTGACTAGATGTAGCAGAAATAGTAGGTGAAATAGATAAGTAAGCACATTATGAATGTGTAAATTACCCACAACATGGCAAAGTAACTCAGAGTAATGAGGCATGTGTACCTTCACCTCTGCTGGGTTGTAATGGCACTCATGATGTTGGTTACATGTCTAGCCTCTATGTTGCCAGTCAGATGTGATAGAGAGTTTACATTTCAGGCAGGGTTTTGTTTGTGTTTGCCTGATATCTTATTCACTCCCTACCTATCAGCTCTTGGATCATCATTATTGTTGCTTAGAGCCAACACTAATATTTTCCAAAAATGTATTTCGTGTTGTCATGATTCTTTGACGATAATCGGCGACAGTTATAGGTATACTGTAGTTGTATACCATTTTTGGTTGGCGGAAATCCACATTCAGCCAACAATCTTGATTTGTTAAGTCCTGATAGTAGGGGAGGGCATGTAGTATATCGGGAAAATTATGGGGTAAAACAGGCTTAAATACAATAAATATAATGCAATACTGCCTGAGATAGCAAATGAAAGTAGTTAAAATCAGCTCAAGAAACTCTACGGAAACTCTATGCCCGCCAACGTTGAAAGTCTACGGCCTGACACGCCACGTTTCTAAAACTCTACGGCTCACAATGCCACCATTCAATAAAGTCTATGAGAAGACCTGCCCGCGTTCATTAAAACCTACGGAAATACACATCATTATCAAGCTGTGACACCATGTTTATACACAAAATGTTGTAACCAAGCAACTTTACCTAACCCCCCTATCGGGGGCTCTGCCCCCGTACCCCCCTCCATTGGGGTATTTACCTATCGGGGGCTGTGCCCGAAGACCCCCCTCCATTGGGGTATTTATTTAACAAATCAAGATTGTTGGCTGAATATGGATTTCCGCCAACCAAAAATAGTATACATCTATAGTATACCTATAACCGTTGCCAATTATCGTCAAATAAACACGCGAAAGCGAAATACATTTTTGGAAAAAATTGCCGAGCCAACTTGATGGACATGAATATATGGATTGGTTCTTGAAAATTGCCCAAGAAATACTTAAAATAGCTATTCAGTACATGAGTCACTGTGGTTTTCCTGTAACAATTTTTATCTGAACACACCACCAGGGATTGGGTTCAGGTATGACCAGTATTTATTTCATTAATTGTATTTACAAATAGATGGCTCCACAAGCGCCCTTAGTCACCAAGGAATCCATTTCTAATCTAACCATCTCACCTGTTCACCTTTTTCCCTGAAATATTTGATTTAATTTAGTTATATATTTCTATAAGAGCTTAACAGCTAAGATAGGGAAAATCTGAGAGCACTGTCATAAAGATATGAGAAAACTACACACACTGATTGATAATAGGATCTGTGCAGGCAAAAAATAATGTGAAAAATGAAGAAAATTGGTTACAACAAAAATCCCCACCCGCTTCTAGTGATTAAGTCTTTCCTTCCTCACTTCATAGCAAACAAGTTTGCTGCGCAATGACGCAATCTAAAGTTTTTTGGCACAGGAAGATGTACTTATTATATGTGGTAAAGATTTACAATACGAATGCACCTGTCAGGGACTAAGTCCTCCCCCTCCCCCCCATCCCCTAATTCCCTTGGGAATCAGGGGAGAAGACATTTTATTTATTTATTTATTTATTTATTTATTTATTTATTTATTGTAGGTACTGAATCCTTTCACTGATCAAGAAAATGAAAACA